GTGTAATAATCCCATCTAGAAGTGGCTGTGTGGGTCTTGAAATAAGTAGTTCATAGAAAAGAGATATAAATCTTACAGTATATGAAGTGGTGAAGGAAGACTAACATTCTTTTCTACTGGAACACATGTTTGAATCACTTGCATAGCTTCATTTCTTGCTGGATGTTAACTCAAGCAATCTGATTAAGAGAGTTTGCATTAATTATCTCTATTTGCAGGACAGGGGACAATTCCTCCTCCACGCTTGCCATCTCTCAGAACAGAACTTCTGCAATTTTTGTTAGAGGGTTCTGATGCTCCTAATTCAAGAGCAGGAGGAGGAGAATATCTTAACCTGTATTTTCTCTTGGAGCTAGATACTGAAGCTACTTTAGACGTTCTGAGATGTGCGTTCATTGAAGATGAAATCTCAAAACCCGACGTTTCTTCTCATGATTCAGCTGATGCAAACATGGAGCTGCCAGATGGGAATAATTCGATGGCTCAAAGTCAGAATTCAATGGTTCAAAATACAGTAGATACTCTCATTCATATTGTTAGTAAGGGCATCTCCCAAACAGATGGATCTCCTAGCAATGATGAGACTGCATCAACAGTAGAGTGGCCTTCAAAGAAAGACATTGGTCATCTGTTTGAGTTTATTGCGTACTATGTTGCATGTGGAAGAGCTAATGTCTCGAGACAATGTACCGTCTCAAATTTTGGAGTACTTGACGTCAGAGAATAACTTTCCATCATGGGTTTCTGGAGATACCATAACTTCAAAAAAAAGAGAGAAGCAGGTTCTTGGTCTTCTTGAGGTAGTGCCTGAGACTGATTGGGATTCATCTTATGTGTTACAGCTATGTGAGAAAGCACGATTTTACCAGGTAAATTTACCAATATCTTATAATGTTGTCAGTGTCATGTTGTTACAGTTCATTCAGTTTGAGATTACTCACTAGAAGGTCTCTTGGAGTTTTTTAGGTTTGTGGCCTAATTCATAACAGCAGGCATCAGTATCTTGCTGCTCTGGATTGCTACATGAAAGATGTAGATGAACCCATTCATGCCTTCTCCTTTATCAACAAAACATTATTACAGTTGACTGACAATGAATCCGCCGCTTTTCGATCAGAAGTAATTTCTCAAATTCCAGAGCTTTTTGACTTAAACAGTGAGTTATCTTGAATTTCTCTTTTCTTTTTCACATGTTAAGTAATATTTTGGTTATTTTCTTCAGTGGAGGTCTTCCTTCACAGTTATTCGATCACAAATATTTTCTTATTCTATGCAGAGAAGGCACATTCGTCTTGGTTATCGACCATTTTACTAGTGAAGAAGGTTCACATATCCTCTCTGAACTTCGTTCCCATCCAAAAAGCCTATTCCTTTACTTAAAAACGGTGATTGAGGTTCACTTATCTGGCACACTCGACTTTTCAAGTTTAAGAAAAGATGATCTTGTGAGGGTGAAGGATCAATCAAAAGCAGTTGAGGCTTACTTGGAAAGAATCTGTGATTTCCCAAAGCTTTTGTGTAACAATCCTGTTAATGTGACTGATGATATGATTGAACTTTATCTGGAGGTGAGCACTTTGTTTGTACAATTACATCTTTTTTTATTTATTTTTAATTTCCTTTATAATTTGATTTTATTGAATGAACCTGTGTCTCAGTTGCATCATATTCTCTTGGTGATTCATTTGTTTTCCTGGATATTCTCAAGTCAAGTCCTCAGTTGAACGATTATTCCTTCTGGCTAGGGAGATAATATTGTTCTCATTGTGTCAGTATATTCATTTTGGCCAAATTTTCAATACAAGACTTGAAAGAGTTGAGTGAGTGTGTTTCGTGGCTACCCTGGTTTCTGTACCATAAAGCTTGTCCATGACATTGCCCTCTTAGTGTGTTACTTCCAATTTGATTATGTTCAGCAACTACTTATGATGAAATCACAATGATACCACCTCAGGTTCTAAATGTTTTGCTTTTTGCTTTTGCAGCTGTTATGTCAGTATGAGCGCAATTCAGTTCTCAAATTCCTAGAGACTTTTGATAGCTATCGCGTGGAACACTGTTTACGGCTGTGCCAGAAATATGGGATAAAAGATGCTGCATCATTCTTGTTGGAAAGGGTTGGTGATGTTGGCTGTGCTCTTTTACTCACACTTTCCACCCTCAATGAAAAATTTATCAAGCTTGATACTGCTGTGGGAAGTCTGGTATCAAGTGGTTCTGCACGTACTGAGCATTTCAGCAATGCTTTAAAATTGGAGGAGGTCCGTGATTATTTGAATCAGAGCATGTGATTAAGTTATATATTATTCGTAATCTTTCTCATGCAGGTGAGCGACATTAACAGTATATTGCATGCCTGTATTGGATTGTGCGTATTTTGAAGACTAATAATCTTTCTCTGATTTCAGCATTATTGTAGTCTTAAAGTACATGGTCGTGCGTATTTTGAAGACTAATAATCCTCCAAATTTCAATGCAGGTTTTGTGAGCCTTTAACGGATGCTGGAAGAGTATCTAAAGGAGACGATCTTAAAACAGTGGTAGCTGAGTCATTGGAATCAGAAGAGGATGAGGTGGCTTTTATTATAGAGTGGAGAATCTCAAAGCTCCATAAAGGCGCTCATATCTTAAGAAAAGTGTTCTCTCGGTTCATCAAGGAGATTGTTGAGGGCATGATAGGTTATGTTCGCCTTCCAACCATCATGTCCAAACTCCTTTCTGATAATGGTAGCCAGGAATTTGGTGATTTTAAATTCACAACATTGGGGATGCTTAGCACATATGGCTTCGAAAGAAGAATTCTGGTATATCATCTTTATATCTCATATGACTTGGTGGATATGTGACTTTTCCCTTTCTCTTGGGAAGTTTTCTATTGTTATTCAGTCAACTTCCTCTTCATTCTTCTCATTGCATTTAAATAATTTCATCTGTTATGTAGGATACTGCCAAGTCCCTGATAGAAGATGATACATTCTACACTATGAGCATACTCAAGAAAGGGGCCTCTCATGGGTATGCCCCTCGGAGTCAAATATGTTGTATATGTGACAAGAACTCTTCTAGCTACATTCGCATTTTCAATTGCGGTCATGCAACACATCTTCAATGCGAAGTTTTGGAGAATGGCACATCAAGTAGTAGCTCGTCCTCTGGATGCCCTGTTTGTATGCCTAAGAAGAAATCTCAGAGGTCCAGAAACAAATCGGTCCTTCCAGAGGAGAGTTTAGTGAAGGGGTTTTCTTCAAGAACCCAACAAATACACGGAACAACTGTCCACCCATATGAAAGCAATGCATCAGAGAATACCCATGGGCTTCACCAAATATCACGAGTATGGCAATGTCATATCATTTTTGTCATGATCGTCATTTTGTCTTATCATTGTTGTCGTCATTGTCATTTCTATTTTGTGGACTGGTCTTACATTGAAAACTAATGAAAAACTGGAATTGGATGTTGCAGTTTGAGATGTTGACCAATTTGCAGAGAGACCGAGGATTGTTCGAGATTGAAAACATGCCTCAACTGAGGCTTGCACCTCCAGCTGTGTATCATGAAAAGGTTCAGAAAGGAACTTTTCTTTCACCAGCAGAAAGTAGCAGTGATCTTGCGAGAATAGGGAAACAAAGTAAAACCAAGCAACTCAGGGAGCTAAAAGTAAAGGGGTCATCTCTTCGGTTTCCCTTAAAGTCAAACATATTTGGTAATGGTACGTATGTCATTCATTCTTGTGTAATTGTTCTCAAATTTGTGAAGGTGTCCAGTTTTAACGCGTGGATTCATTTTCCAGGCAAGGAGAAAACCAGCAAGCGGCGACATTATCGTCATGTACACAACTAACAATAACTGATATCTTTAAGTACCGTTTTAGCTGAGTTTTTAACAACACCCCACACTCCCCCGCCCTCTCTCTCTCTCACTTCGTTTTCTCTGTTACATGTAATTCTTTCTATGTTAATTTGTCTCTACTTAAAGCTGTTGTAAACTAGTAATTACTTTGTAAAGTAGTACCAGTTTTGTATATGATTCATAGAAAGGCACTTGGCATTTGTAGTGAAATCAAAATACAATCCATCAGTAATGATGCAGTATTTTATCTTGGATGGTTGATTTGGTCTGTCATAGAGAATGCTCTTTTTTCTCTTATATATTTATTATTTTCTTACCAACGCAGATCAACGAAATTCTTTTTCTCAAGGGAGAAAGCCAAAAAGGTTTTAAGACGTAGAGAAGGTAGAACAAGAATATGGTGTTGAGATTTCAAAACTCCCAGGCTAAACAACCAAACCAACTAAACAAAAAATAACCTAAATTTTTTAAAAACAAGTTATAGAGGGCCCAACCGGGTTCGAACCGGTGACCTCTTGATCTGCAGTCAAATGCTCTACCACTGAGCTATGGACCCTGATTGGTTCTAGTTGCTTCATTTTGGTCATATAATCGCGTCTTTGTGTATCTTAAAATGGCAACCTATTCTCGATTTTCAACTTTGCTAGGATTCATTCAGGACTGTTTGAATATTATTTTGAAAGGAGTAGCAAGTAGCAAACACCAAATAACAATTTCAAGATGCCTTGACAAACCTGAGTAGCATTTGCCTAATTTGTTCATCCACAACAAATGGATCATATACTAAATTGAGTTATTGCAAACACAAACTTGTCTGTGAGCCTTAGCTGAAGTTCTCAGACATACACGTTCGTTGCTTTAATTTTCCCTTGAGCAACCAGATAAAAGATTATTTCCATCAGGCACTTAAATTCATGGAAACTATACAAGTGTAATCCTGTTGAAACCTCATCAACTCGTGACTACCAGATATGCTGTTTGAGTTATAAGCTTAAGGCACAAAAATCTGGTGCTGCAAAAACATCGGATTTTATACATTCGCCAACACAATCCACCAGTTTTCCTTCGTGTTTTTTAATACTTTTCATTAAGATCGATTCTAGAGAAGAGTGCACGTCATGTAGAAATCATATGCTTAATGGTATTTGTAAAAGCTTATGACATTTCTACCATCAGAAAATTTGCTGCTTTCGCTCCTTCAAGTTCAAAGATTGCCAATGCACAATTAGATTCACCAATCAACTTGTTGAAAAGTAAAGCCAAACAAAATTCACCAACTTCGAAATGAGAAGGAAATGCCCGCATTGAGATTCAAAGGAAATGCAAGTAGATACTAGAAAGTTGCTGCATATACATCAAGACAGAAAGGGAATCGCGTAAAATTCTCCGCACTACCATAGCTGACTGTCAATCCTCATCTTCTGAGCTTGCATCATCGCTAGTATAATCACTACTATCATCGTCTTGGTCCGGAATATCCAGCTGAACATGCTGAACCTGTATTGTCGCTGGTGCTCTAGGTAATGGTTGATGAGCATTAGGCCGTAATTGTTGCTCTTCGACCCTGGGAGCTGGAGCAGATCCAAGTGGGGGCAAAGGCACTGGGTCCCCAGGCTTCCATCCAGGTGGGGGCACAGGTACATCGCTTGGCAACTCCACAGGCATCCCTGGTATCCAACCTGACGGAACCGTGATATTTGGAGGAAGTAGACCCTGGAGTGCACCCAGCTTGGGAAGTTGATTGGCTTCTGTTGGCTCAGGACACGGGGCCTCTAATATTGTGTGAATTGTTTCCTCCTCCCTCTCGACTGTCTTAGGTAAACCAACATCAAGGTTTGCAAAATTGGATAGCTGAGAAGCACGCATTTGCTCATCCTGTGGGGCAGGCGGGAGTGCCCCACGAAGAGGAGCTTGTCCAGCCCCAAATTCTGGTGGTGCAAAGGTTGTGTAGCTTATCCGGTGGGCATATGATAAAATATCTGATAAATTCAACTGAGATGCAACAGTGGTGGTGGTGCATGAAGAATCATCTTCTGCACCATCCTCCTGTTTTGTCCGTTTGGGGTGGCTAAAATCAGAGTAATCATCAACAAGATTATCAAGAACCTGCTCGACATCCTTGAGTTTCTTGGAAAAAGAAAGAAGTGCAGCATCCTTGGACCGCACTTCGCGTGCAATTTTCAGCTTAGCGTCCTGAAGATCAAGAATTTCTTGGAGTTCAGCAACAGCCTCAAAGAGTTGGGTTTGAAGGGCAGTGAACTGGGACAGGATCTCTTTGGTGGAGGAAGGAGAAGAGTCAGGTGCGGTTGAGGGCAGTGATTGGGATTGGGAAGAAAGAAAGGTTGGGAAGGACCCACGGAATGCATTGAGCCAAAGGGATCGATTCGGCGAGACTTCAAAGAGTTTAGAGGCAAGGGAGGCCATTTGGATGAGAAGGGATTGGGCTCTAGGGAGGGGTGCGAGGAGAGAGAGAAGGGTTGGGGAGAGACTGGGTTGCTGTGAAGGGAGTTTCGGAGGGGTAGGGTTTTGAAGAGAGGGTGAAGTGGGGTTTGTTAGGCCTAACCTAGCTGGGGATTGTACAATTTGGGGTTGCAGCATTTTGGGATTCACTTGTTTCCTCAAAGCATTCTACCGACAAGAAATTGAACATATTACATACTTGATAAATAACAGAAATACCATATAAGCCAAAGGGCAAACGTTCACAGCATGGAGAACCAAAATTAATTAAAAGAAAAAGGACACTTACCAACAGAATTCAGAAACAAAAGTAGCGAGCTAGAAGCTGCTGTATAAAGGAGCCCCAATGTTGCTTTGCTACAGAACCATCCTGTTTTCTTTGTTTTCAGCTGCTCAAAAAGCTGCAAAATCTACACTTCCTTAGAAACATAAACAGGCTCTCTGAATTTATAAATAAAATTTATTGAAGCAATCGTTTAACGAACTTGATCCACCCAAAACTGGAAAAACAAGAAGATGCCAAGATCAAACAAAATTATAAACTGGGAAAAATTTCTGGGTAATCCTAAATCGAACTCGCCCACATCCGAAATAGACCACCCAAGTCAGACAAAACCAAAGCTACCCAAATCTTTCATCATAAAATCAAAAAGAGAAAAATTGTGACTAAGAGAAACAGCTCAATCAGCAATGGAGAATGAGAAAGAGAGTCGGTTTATACCTCCGCTGGTTTCGTGAGAGAGAGAGACGGTAGAATACTTTTGCTAGTTTTTTTTCAAAAGGATGGTATACTTTTGCTACTTTTTTTGTTTGTGCTCTATGACTTGCATGGTAGAATGGTTCTTGGCTGCTGAAAATTTAACCTGATCTGCTCCAGTGCCTAGGCTAATAGAGCCAGCCCAAATTGTTTGAACCGGGCGCACTTAGAACGCTCAGACCCTAAATCCCACATGAAGCCATTTCCACAGCTACGCATTATTATGAGAATGAGTGCTGCGATTCACAAATACAACAGGGTCAGAAAAACTCCAAAGGTAATTTCATGCATGTGTGTATGAACACTAGATAAGCAAGAACAAAGAAAATACCAGATTCATGCACGAAAAAGCATCTTAAGATTCATGCAAGAAAAAGCACAAGATACGAGGTCCTCAGAAAAGAAGAAAAAAAGGCTTATGAAATCAAAATAATTAGAGGATATGAAAATTTTTATTTAAACAAGAAGAAATGAAAGAGTAAGCCAAAACTAGAGTCTTGCAACACCAGACATAAACTAGAGAGTCTAGAAAGGAGTAGCATTCGTACAATAAAAATCTCTGTTCCAACATCTCATAAAAGTACAATTCTGATTCAAGTTTCTCTTTCTTGTCGGACTCTGGAACCTTGTGGAGCAATATGTTTCACCTAAACAAAGGAACCATATATCTTCTATCTTCCGAAACTAGAACTTAGAGTTTAAAATACAAGACCAAAGAATTATATCAAACAGGAGAAAGCTTTTTAAAACAATGAATCAATATGCCAATATCACAGCACAGGGACCCAAAGCAATCTATCAAGCAGAACCTAAAGGGAACTGGGATGCTACTAACTTGCAGACCTTGCAGCTTCTCGTGTTGTGGAATAAACACTTACAGCATAACATGATACTCAACTACATACATCAAACCATTTATCCAACATTTTTGAAACTCCATTAACATGTGAAACTCAATTAGTACGAACAAAATTGATAAAGGTGGCAATAACTAAGGAGTTTCTAAGACTCAATTGCTAAGTTTTAGTTGTTAACAGAGATCAGCATCCCTCTCTCCAAGTATTTCAGTTCTAACGTATGACCTACCTTTCAGTACCCTTATATTGAAACAGAGATAAAATTCCATTATCTTAGCACCTAATTAGCCATTTTATTGCTATCTATCTTCATCTCTGTTCCACCAAGAAGGTGACTTCCAAGAAAACATACGACAAAATGCATCTTTTCTAAAGGGGTAAGGTAATCAACCCAGATAGCTGCTTCAAGATTGAAGAACACAAAGTTAACAAAAGTTATATCAGACCCAATTAGCAACTACATGATTGGAGGTTACAGTCCAGAGAATCACTCATAGACCCGCAATATTTGAATTGAAGTTCTAAAATATATTAAGTATAAGATTTACCATAAAGAATATTAACCCTGCCTTGAACCGAGCGATTTGTGCTTTGAACCGTAATGTAGAACACCCCAAACACCCTTTAGCGCAGGCCTCCAATCGTCATTATCCTCTGCTTCGAGTTCTGGAGAGAAAAGAGAAAAGAATGAGAAAGAAAAAGCCCAAAGCTTTCGACTTTTGATTTTGACACAGAATATTGAAAACCAAATCGTTGGTCTCTTTCAAAAGTCAAATTTTCAACCAATTAGAAATGTATTGCCAAAGCCAGTCTTTACCTTTTCTTTACAAAATCGACAGAGGTGTCATGCGAGCGACGACGTCAACTAGGGAATTAGCGTTAGGGATTTTGATTCCGCCGAATAGATTTGGGGATTCAATTTCTGGAGAGTCAACGGCGAGCGATAGCCGGTTGTGACAGTAGTTTTACTCTTCCTTGTTTGGAACTGAAGAGTTGAGATGGTTTGCAATTTCGAGGAGAATAAATAACAAATGGACCGAAAGTGGGCTGAATATGGATGGGCTTGGGGTGGGATGAATGGGCCCAACTTAGTTTTAAAAAAAAAATTCGAAATTGGGAGGGCCCAACCGGGTTCGAACCGGTGACCTCTTGATCTGCAGTCAAATGCTCTACCACTGAGCTATGGACCCCTTTGGTGCTAAAGGTTTTCAAATATATAATTTTAAATGAAACGAATATCAACTGAAATGACCAAAAGGGTTTGCGGTCCTCATCCTATGACACGTTGGAACTCAGCCTTGTCCACATGGTCACATGGAGGATTTGGGTGACGACAGAAATAATGAAACATAAAAAAGACAAAACTGTTTTGTTCATGATTTTTTTCCTTTAAATTTTATTTTTCGCATCGTAAACTCAAAAAGGGAAGGTGTTGGTAAACCAATTTCAAACAATAAAATATTTGTTTGTTTGTTAAAATTAGTCGTGATGATGTGAAGTAAAATAATGCCGCTCTATACAACCTAAGTCAAGCTCAAATTTTATTTGTTTTGGTCGGGCACACTCAATATCATTATCTTATAATTTCATAGAAATTGACAAAAATAAAGTGACTTGTATTATGTTTGACACCAAAAAAAGTGTGACATTTATTATTATTTTGAAACGTCTCTTTATTTTGGTCACATTCCACCTCTTTACATAGGTGAAGAAATCATAAATGAAGCTCCTCTTTTGTGAGACATGCATATAACTCCTCTAAAATGCTTGTGTGCATAATTTAGTGTATCAAATAGAATGTGTATATAAGCTTAGTCAAGTTAACTAGAATGGATGTGCTCCCCATTCTGCACTCGAATTTGAATTCCCTTCTCCATAGTTTATATATATAAAATAGAACGCATACATGCCTTTAAAAGATAAAAATTAAAATGCATGAGAGTCATATTCATCATTAACCAATGGAATTGATTAAAACATCAAATTGCATTTCCTTGAGAACCATATTGTATGAAGCACTCAATCAACAACCAAATTCAATATGTGGCATTGTAAACACAAAGAAAATCCACTTAAAACCATTATTAAAAAATAAAAATAAAAACACCATTGCACTAAGATGATTTTGACACCATAAATAAATGAATGAAAGATAAACCCAACTGTCTAGGAAAAATAATTTGGAGACAAAATGTTCGCGTCGGAGGAGTTTGCAAGGCCAAAAGCCTAAAGACACAAAATAATTAGCCAGGCGAGGCAAAAACTAGAAGTAATTGTAGAAGTAAGAACAACACAACAAGTAGTTGGTTGAGTTGTTGGTTGGCCTCCCATTTGATCAGGCGGTTATTTCCAAGCCTCCTTCCTTCGTTTTCTCCGCCCCTTCTTCTCCTCTTATACTTTCTCTCCCTCACTCCCTCAATTTCCATCTCCTCCATTTCTTCTCTCTCAATATCCCAATTTTATCACTTCCCAAACAAAGACAGAGCCACTGAATCAAGGGGAGAGATGTCCTTCTCTGCCACCAATTTGGCCCAGCCCCTCCAACTCAACACCGCCTCCCCCAGATCCAATGACAAGCCCTCCTTGTTGCCCAAGACCTCATCTTTTCTCGGATCTACCCGCAACTTCCGACCCACTTCCCTATCTGCTAACCCCAGTCACTCGAATGCCCACCGTCGATCCGCTGTCGTTGCTGTCTCCGAAGCTGTGAAGGAGAAGAAGCTCCATGCATCCACCAATCTGGTAATGTTTTAGTCCTGAAAGTTCATTGCTTGATTTAGTTTTCTGGGTAAGTTTTGTTTTTCTCATGCATGGTAAGCCAAGGGAAGGAGAAGAGAATTGGATTTCAAATTTTGTTTTTCTTGGGTTTGTAATTACTGGGTAGCTGAGATTTACGAGCAATTCCACTTAATCAAGCTTAATTTAAGTTTTTTGATCCAACAATTGAAAACCCAGAACAGATAAATTCCAAGCTTCCAACTTTCAGCTTTGTTTCTCGGTGGCTTTAATTCAGTTTGATTTGTGTCTTATTTTTCAAGTTCATGGAACGTCAGTATATCTATCTAATTAAATTTGAAGAGATTTAGAAGTACACAGCTGAGCTTTTTCTTTGTTTCCCAAAGATTTATGTCTAAGACTATCCTTTTCAATCTTTGTGCATTTAGCTTATAACAAAAGAGGAAGGCTTGGAGCTGTATGAAGACATGGTATTGGGTAGGTCTTTTGAGGACATGTGTGCTCAGATGTATTATAGAGGCAAGATGTTCGGGTTTGTTCATCTTTACAATGGCCAAGAAGCTGTGTCAACTGGGTTTATCAAGCTTACAAAGAAGGAAGATTCTGTGGTGAGCACTTACCGTGATCATGTACACTCCTTGAGTAAGGGTGTCCCTGCTCGTGAGGTGATGAGTGAGCTCTTTGGAAAGGCCACTGGTTGTTGCCGAGGCCAAGGTGGTTCAATGCACATGTTTTCAAAAGAGTACAATGTGCTTGGTGGGTTTGCATTTATTGGTGAAGGGATACCAGTAGCAACAGGTGCAGCATTCTCCTCTAGATATAGGAGGGAAGTGCTGAAACAAGCAGACTGTGATCATGTGACATTGGCCTTTTTTGGAGATGGGACTGCTAATAATGGCCAGTTCTTTGAGTGTTTGAACATGGCAGCATTGTGGAAATTGCCAATTGTTTTTGTTGTGGAGAACAATTTGTGGGCTATTGGAATGTCACATTTGAGGGCTACTTCTGATCCAGAAATTTGGAAGAAGGGCCCTGCATTTGGTATGCCTGGTGTTCATGTGGATGGGATGGATGTTTTGAAGGTGAGGGAGGTGGCGAAGGAGGCGATTGGAAGGGCCAGGAGAGGAGAAGGGCCAACATTGGTGGAATGTGAAACATACAGGTTCAGAGGACATTCATTGGCTGATCCCGATGAGCTTCGTGACCCTGGTGAGTATTTGAATTATGTCTTTCTGCTTTTAGATGTGTCCTTGTTTTTGACTTTTTATTCAATTCTTGGAGAGATGTTAATGCTTCTGCTTCTATGCATTTTACGAATTAAAATTTGTCTATGCTTCCGTCTCCTACTCCTTTTGGTTCTGTTTCTGCTCATAGTTTCTTCTGTGTTGAGTTTTAATATCGTGATTTTTTTGTTGTTCGTTGGATTGTGGACTTGAGCCACTATATGAACTATTAAGTGGATAGTTTCTTCTGTGTTAGATTTTTATCTTTTCAGTACTAATATCCTGATTTTTAATTTACTTATGTTGGATTATGGAGAACTCCCCACTCTATTGGAGAAAATAATTATCTCATTTTGCAGCCAGCATGTTCACTTCTTAGTTTTCATATCATTTCATTCCTTTGAGTTGAAGTTGCTAAATATTAACCACTATGCTTGGTTCTATTTTGGCAGCTGAGAAGGCACACTATGCTGCCAGAGACCCCATCACAGCCTTAAAGAAATACATACTTGAGAACAATTTGGCCACTGAACAAGAGTTGAAGGCCATACATAAGAAGATTGATGAGTTGGTTGAGGATGCCGTTGAGTTCGCAGATGAGAGCCCACTTCCACCTCGCAGCCAGCTGCTCGAGAATGTGTTTGCCGATCCAAAGGGTTTTGGAATCGGCCCTGATGGCAGCTACAGATGTGAAGATCCTAAGTTCACTCAGGGCACTGCTCATGTCTAATCAATGTTGGACCTCTAGCAATCGACGTGTGCTAGCTCTCTGTTCCTAGATACATGCATGGTGTTAATTTTTAGTTACTGCTAGCAGTTACTTTGTCACGTAAGAAGATTGTATCAACTTTATCTACTGTAAGCAGGAATATGTTTGTTAGTTGTTTCAGTTTTGGTCATTATACCGCTCATTTTAAAATTATCCTTGTTCTTTTGTATTGGCAAGCAAAACCCTGTTGGGATGTTGGCTCTTTGTTTCCAATTTTATTATATCTACACATGATTCTCAAAATTTTGCATTCATTGGATTTGCTGGATGATTTTTTGGGCCAACATGTAATTTGCCAAAAAGTTGGGAAATTTATGTCAAGTTCTAACTATAAAAATAGTTTATGTCAAAATTAAACGTGATTAACAAAATTGACACTCAGCTTAATCTGGCGATAGTCCTATATGAGTAATGCTACACTTACCACATTTTTATCCCATATTTCTATACCACATGATGTGGCATATCCATATCATATGTCACATCAATTAAATCAATGAAGTATATTTTAATAAAGAAAGTTTAATTAACAGTTTTTTTTAGTGTTAATAAATCATAAAAGAAAAGAAAATATTAAATAATTTTAATTGATGTGGCTCTCCATCTCATCTGCCACATAAGTTGGTATGGAAATGTGATACACAAATGTGGTAAGAGTAGCATTATTCGTCATATATATATATATATATATATATATATATATATATTAAAT